GCCTACCCCACCAATCTGGTCACACCTGTGTACTACCTACACCATGAGAATGTTTATTACTACTTTGTTAGGATGATTTATTTATTATTTGGTATGTTGAGGTTGTGTGTTTTTTCAGGGTTCGTACAAGGTGCTTAAAATGCTTGAAGTACTTGAAATTCAGGTCAGTCATAATCAAAAGGTGCAAAATCAGTTTGAATGAGATATCTTTGTCATAGTAACCTTTCAATCGTTAAAGTTTCCACAGTCATTGCATCTGCTGCACTTTATTTTGTAACTTTGTTTAATTTTTTTTATTTTTGTTTACCTATTTATCTGTATGAACTCTGGTTTTCTGTATAGTAGGCTACTTATTAAATTAATTAACTGGACTTAACACTCTTGGGGCCCTATTTTAACGATCTGAAACGCAAGTATCAAGTGCGAAGCGCAAGTATCTTTGTGGGCGGGTCTTGGGCACTGTTGCTATTTTTTACCGGCGGGATAAATTACTCTTGCGCCCGACGCAAGTTTAAAAGGGGTTGGTCTGAAATAGCTTCATTATTCATAGGTGTGGTTTGGGCGTAGCGTGAAATAAACCAATCAGAGCGTCATCCAACATACCCTTTAAGAGCAGGTGCGCATGTTGCATGGCGGATTGTTATTATTATGGCGGATTGTTATTATTATGGCGGATTGTTATTATTATGGCGGATTTACCAGGCGCGCGCCAGGAGCGGTTCACAGCCGAGGAGACCGATGTTCTTGTCAGGGCAGTGAAAGACAGAGAAGTGACGTTGTATGGGGATGGGAGATTTTTTTTTTCCTGGTTCTTGATGGACAAACTAATTTGTCAGATGTCCTTATATACATATGTGTATTGCCACTATTAGGCAAACAGGTCTGATCCATCATTACTACAATTAGCCTGAAAAATTTGGGTAAATGTGTAAGCTAGATTTAGGCCTAAATCTTTTTACATCTTCATGGACACCACAATGATTTCCCTCATGTGTTAATATTTTTCCTTGTTATAATGTATGATTTGCAAAAATAAAAACTGCTGCATCTGTGTTAATGAGAGAATCAAAGTGTATGCGCGTTGTGCACCCGCTACATTATGGCCAAGCATGCGCGCTTAAAATAGCATTATGAACAACGCGCAACGCGGCACTGACTTTAGACTAGGTTTTTTCTGGTCAGTGGCGGAATTGTTTTCTGGAACTGCAAAATAGCACTAGGGAATGTTTGCGCCGAAACACGCCTCCTTTTTGCGCCGACCCGCCCAGGGAGCGCAAGTACATTTCCTAGTTTACCGACGTGCGTCTGTGGAGGGAAAAGCCCGCTTTGCGCGGGTGCAAAATAGGAATGATACATGCGTCAGTGAACAAAGTCATTTGCGCCGGGTGCAAGATAGGGCCCTTGGTCTTGTCATATTTCATAGCTATACCTTGGGTATCTCCCTACAACACACATTCTCTAGCAGGGACAGTGAGCTGCAGTGCCCACAGGTGCACCTGTTGAGACAGAATCATTTGTAATTGTAGAGGGAGACTTGAAATCTCTGTTTTTCGCTTAATTATTAACACTAAATCATACCAAAATTAACCTAAATGCATGGGTTTTAAAATTTTGATAGTTTGTTAGCATGAACATTAGCCTAATTTAGCCATAATGCTAATATTTTACCACTCAGAGACTGGCCCCATTCTCTCTTGCGCGGCTGCATCGCTAGCATCGTCGGATGCCGATCGCGATGCGGGAGTTAAGACCGCAGTTTGAGCCAGCGGCTCGAATTGATATGGCTCTGGCCCTGTGTCCAGAGACAATTCAACATCCTCCACTTCAGGTGAAGGTGGGGGAGAAAAGTCCTCGACTTCAAATGACCACTCTGTTGCAAAGCTACTTGTGTCACTCCAGTCGCTCTCCATTTTAGCGAGTCTGACAGCAGCTGTCACTGCGGGTCTCAGGTGCATGCCCTGAGATATAGGCTTATGTACAATAACAATTTTCTGAAAAAATAACATTACGATGTCCAGAAATCAATTTCAATAGTACATTGGGTTTAATGTATCATTTAATGTGGTCTACTAACATATATTGTTAGTGCCGAGAATTTTCACGTGAATAAATGCATAGATCCGTGAATATAGTGTACTTTCATGGTCAAAACCATGAAAGGTTTCATGGTTTTTCTCATCAAAACCGAATATGTTTATCAGTGGTTGTATATCAAGCAGGGACACGTTTGTGTGCATTTTGTTGTGTGATTTCATCAATACGAATAGAGTCTCCGCAACGGCAATAGATTGAAGCGCGCGCACAAGAGAACACTGTATCCAAGACACTGATAGCAGCGGCAACGAGCACTCAGCAGCTTGATTTAAAAAAGCAACACATTTCAGCGCTAGAACGCCTCTTACTTGACAAACAAACTAAATGAATGCCTTGCTAGTTAGATGGAAATGTTTTATTTATTAGTATTAGGTACATCTGTGCCGCTAGATGTTTCAAAAGGTGGTGGGGACAATATCGACCCTGGCTAAAACCCATATTGGGTCAACGCAATGGTCGCTTTGGTCAGGTGGTATTTATAGCATAGGGGGCGGGACGCTTCAGATTCTAGAGAGCATTTGATTGGACAGAAGATGTGATAAGAAGCTGAAGTCCACGGTGAAGTCATAAAAATCCGTGATCCATTTTAGCTGAAGTGAGGGACTGTAACTTGAATGCTTATATCTTCTAAATACGAATTTTGTCATTGTTTTGGAACACACCAGCTATTCATAACCTTAAGGCTAACATATTCATACTAAAAGCTAAAAAACTTAAGTTTTGATTTCAGGGGGCCTCTAAAGCATAATAAAAACACCACATAGACATATAAACATTAAAAACTTGATTTTCACCACAGTGGGTCTTTAAACCAATACCACTTTTATGATTTATTTTCATACAAAATCTGTTGCTCCATCAATGTTCAATTAAAAACTTTTTTTCCTGCAATCAGGAGTATGTATTTTACAGGGTGGCTAATTCGTACAAATTCATATGACCTCACTCGTACGAATTCGTACGATTTTTGCTAAATCGTACATATTTTACGAGTTGCCCAATTCGTATGAATTCGTACGAATGACCGACCCCTGACCCCGCCCCTAAACCTACCCATCACTGGGGTTTAGACAAATCGTATGAATTCGTACGAATTAGCCACCTCGTACTCACTTATACGAATTTGTACGAATTGGTCGTGAGATAGCGTTCGGAATAACAGTGAAATCACCACAATTACACAATTTCCAACAAAGTCTGAATACTCTTTTATTTAAACATTTTAAAATGTTGTTTTGGAGGCTTTCCTAAACTGTCATGTTTGTAATGTCAGATCTAAATCACATCCGTAGTTCAGATTAATCATGGTTGCATGCATTTGTCACAACTAAATAGATCAACTTTACAAGACAGAAGTCAAACCAAAATAGGGGAAGACCGGGGATGGTTGTAAAACTTTTTGTTTGAGCATCAGTAACTCAGTGGTTGTTTGTGCTATATATATAAAATTTTCATACATGGTAGCCACATTTGTCTACTGCAAATATAACTCACTTGAATATGTACAACATGTGAGTTAATATCAAATACAAAGAGTTCCGGTGTTATAATATATCCCACTACTGGGTTGAGTTGAACTACTAGGGACAGATGTAGGCCTACACTATGCAATTTCTTTGTATAAACATCATTGAAGAACAAAGAAAAAAACAGTTTTGAACAACGTGAACAATTTAAACTGACAAAAAATATTATATTGTATTTTTTTAGGACTTTAAATGTAGTGCAAAACAATTGCCGGACGTGTTTGTGTGAGTATGTGTGTAAGCGTACTGTTTTCCTGTCCTCATATTTTTATGTGAATTTTGAGATATTGCATAAAAAACACTGGATGGAAACATCAAGATGCGCAAAAATTCAATTAATGTGCACAATAAATGTGTGCGTTCAATTGAGGCAGGTGATTTTTTTGTATCTGGTAAGAAGACGTGCAATGATGGAAACACAAATTTACTGAATAAATCCCACGTTACGCAACAACAAAAAAACCTCACGTGACTTTGCCTCAACAGAGGATGTGACTGATAACTGGTCTCATTGGAATCATCATAGGGGTTGGTTGTAATATTTTTAATAAACTGTTACAATTATCCACACCCCAAACAGCCATAACATAGCTAACTGTTTTAGCATGTGGGTTTCAAGTTAGCATAAATACAAAGCATCAAATTAAACTAGAGACACAGTTACTACAGGTCATGTTAAATAATTGCATCTGCAATTCTATGATGCTTGGCAAAAAAATTATCTTAATGAAAAATTACTTTCTTACCTGAAAATCTTTTTTTTTTTGTCATAAAATGTACAAATTTGCTCTCAGTCTGGGCAATTTCTCCTGTGATCTCAAAAAGAAGATTGGAGTGTATGATATTGATGACGTCACCACAGCTCTTTTCTGACCTGTCAAACTGACAGTTTTACATCTAACCCCATGTTACACTCTCCATTCTCCCCTTTATAACAGAAAACATACACACATACTGTGTAAAAGAATTTCCTCTCTGAGGTCAATTTAAAGTAATCTAACCTAATACTAACTCCCCTGAAAAAAAAGTGACTTTCACTCCTTTTGTCATAGTGTAAAAGATGTAATGTACAATAAATTGTAAATATATGAAATTACTAGAATGCTAGGCCTACAAAATACTATTAACTGACATCATATTTTTTACTACTGTGACTTTCATTCCACACCCACCCAAAGCAGATTTTACTCAGAGTAGTCACACACAGTTCCTGGTAAGAATGATTTTTTTCCTGCTTAATTTTAATCACTAAAGGCTGTGTCCTGTATTGACGATAATGAATATAAGTCTAACTATTTATTATTACTACTATAAACTACAAAAACAAAATTTGGTTTTGTCCACTTATTTCTCTGTTCACTCCCAACAGCCACAAAATTGATTACTTGTACAAAGTTAATTGCACACCAATATTATACAGTGAATAGCAGTGATCAAATGGACAAATGTCATATTTTTCCTTTTAACTGTTTTTACTGAATAACAATTTTCCTAAAACTTGAGTAATGAATCAATTCAAAATATCAACTCATAAAGCCCCATTTGTATTCTATTATTTAATTTGTTCAATTACAATAATATTTTGATTACAGTTTCCAACTGACTCTATGCGATTGTGGATAGTTTGTGTGATGTGTGAAATTACTTGGCAGAGAAATACCCTTGCTGTACCTGTTGCTGGTCACCAGAGGCTGGGAAGGGCGGAAAGGCGGCCCATATACAATGGGTTCTTTTGGCACTGAAGAAAAGCTGTTAGTAGGGGATGTAACAGCTATTACAGGTGCCATCTCCTGTGGGCAACCAGCTAACTCGTAGAATACTCTTTGCTTCCATTCTGCTGGCGTTTCTGGTAGTGATTTTCTATGAGTAGCAGACATTTTGACCTCATCGAGAACAAAGGGGCTTTGAGCAACTGCCTCCATAGAAGGGAGTAGTTTTTTGGGCTGCTCCGACCAAGAATATTGCCTGTTCATTGATTCACGTGTTGGATGGACACCTGAGGTGGATACAGGGAAAGCGAAAGACACAGAGGACAGTCTCTGAGGAAAAGACAAGGAACGGCTCCTGCTGAATCCCTACAGAGCAAGACAGAAGGACATTCACTTATTAGTTCTAGTAAAACAAGTTGACACAGTAGTTGTCTCATAAGCCTTAAGTAATCACAGATTTAGTTTGTAACAAAGAAACTCTTGATGTTTTTGGATTTCTAACAAGACTTTTTACACCAAACAAAATATAAATTATCACATGCATTTAGACTGCCCTCATCTGGACAGTGTCTGTAAATGCTCTATAGAGACATTGCACTCATTTTAGGTTAGGGGAGGTCAGGGTTGTTTGGCTACTGGGGTTGGTTGGCACTGGATTAATTCTGTGGTTATAATTAGTCGTCATGATTTATAATTAGACTGTCACAACATTTTTGAGTGTGGTTACACTCTTGATAAGAGTAAGTTTAAATATTAATAAATATGAATATCAGTTAAGACATGTAATAATTAAAATGATATGTATGTAATTGAATTATATATAATTAAAACAAAAAAGCATTAAACATGAATCACATTTAACACATTAATCATAAAATTAAAAAGATATAGGCCTATATATTTGACAAATATTGTGATTATGATTTTTTTTCCCTTTTCTATTTTTCAAACAGTCATCCTGAAATATTTTTGATTTTATATAACTTTGTAACTTAACTACAAAAGTCTATACTCAGTTTGGGAAGGTGGGGGGACTTCATTGGAGAAAAAAATGCTGTGTTCTAGTGTCGTCATCAGAGCATAATGATTGAGTTGGGGATGGGGTTATTTCAGCACTTACCTCTAGTTAAAGGCAGTTAATACGTGTAAGACCTATCAGATTGCTAAGCAGAGATGGTGTCTTAATAGAGTTTGTGTGTTGCAAACATGGTGGAGCGAGAGCTATATTTAAAATGAGCTCTGTGCAGAGTTAAGAAAAGCTACCCATAGTATTTCAACAATTTGTGAAGAACAGAATTATTCGGACAGAATAAAGACTAGACCTTAGTATTTGTTGACTAAATTTAGAACTTATTGACCCAAGGTGTATTTTTTATTACACTGAATGTGTTCCATTTAAGGACTGTTCTTTGCAGAACGAGATAGAAAGCAGATAGAGTAACATGAGCAATATGGAAATACCAGAAAGAGAATTGTGTTAAAATTGGTAAAGAAAAGCAAATAGAGAGCACAGAAAGCATTAAGTGAGACAGAGCTGATGGAAATATTTATTAAAGGGAGAGATCAAGAAGTGCAAGGGAAAGAAACAAGAACAGCAGTAACATTGTTCAGATTGATATTTGAATTAGTACAAATGAATATGTTAAAAGTATTCTGTACACCCATCCTTTGTTTTCTGCATTTGAACAGTCTGCTAAATACAGTAAAAATAATTAATTTACAAAGTACATACGAATGAATTAGAGGTCTGACAGAATTGCAAAGGAAACTCAGTCCAGGGGGAGATCTAGTATGTTGATTTGGAACTGTAGCCAAAATGTAGCACCTAATGCTTTTAACACTCATTATGTCATTGGTGCTTTGCCTGGCCACAAATATAAGAAAGTTACATTTCTTTTCACAATGCAGGTCCACTTGAGAAAATGTTTCTCAGTTTTTTCTCTACAAAATACAGATAAAAATAAATGCAATTGTCATTCACATGGAAATCAAAATAAAATTGGGAAACTAATAAAATCTAATCAAAATCAATGTATGCTATAAATTGTAGAACTGTTCTATAATGTATGACATTCTTATATTGTGCATTTATCTAGAAAGTATCATTAAAAGGGTCATTACGGAATCAAACTTTTTTTGATCCTTTGACATCGTACTATAAAAAAATTGTTCAGACCACAACAATTCCTCCTAACTGCAAAAACAGCATTTTTTGAATCTGCCAAAACAAAATGGTTTTCATGTATATTCTATTTTTTGTGCCAATTTTTTTTTACTAACTTTACTAACATTTACTAAAGTGAATCAAGAAACATTAAAATAATATAAAAAGCATGTCATGACCTAAAATTGTAAAATTATTGGTTTCCATTGCTTGCCAGTGTTTGACTTTTTGGCTGAAAACTTTGGTCTTGGAGTCACTGGTAATGCACACCGTGAAGCATATTCATTATTCATGGGTAAAGAAGACCCTACAAAAAGATTGGCCCCAGTGCTACCAGGAGCATTGGAGATGTTTCTGGGGCCATCATACATGGACTGCCGTTTCCCATCTAATTGTCGTGGAACAATGGTTGCTTCATTTGATGTAGACTGATGGACAAATGGGTATGGAACACTTACCTCTCCAGTGGCTTTAGATGGCTTTAGAACTGGCTGTGAACTTTTGGAAAAACTATTTGGGGATGGAGAGAATGTTGTAGATGGCTCATAAGTGAGGGACTGGGTCTGAAAACTGGTAGGGGGTTGATAAGAAGTTTGTTTAGACTCTTCAGGGGAAACTGCTTCCTTAGCCTCTAGAGTGGAGTTGTAGGTAAAAAGTGAGGAGTTCAGTTGGTAAGGCTGATGTTTCATGACGTCCAGAACATTGAGATGTTTGGGTGGTGGATTCATCTTCTCCTTGCTTGCTTTAGGCTTTATCTTTGGACTAGTTGAAGGAGGGGGTTGTTTAACTGCTGCAAGGGGATAAAAGGGGGACAAAATAGGATTGTAGCACACTGGAGGTGGGGCACGGACATTAGAAGAGTATTTCCAAGTGCTTGGCATTGAAAATGTTGGTGATGAGGATCTTGCCTTGTTGGCTCGTACAGTCTCATCGTCCACCACAAATTTTTCCATACGGGACTGTCTACGAGCAAACAGTTCAGCTCCTTTTCCTTTAAGGTTCAGTCCCTCAAAATCACCTGTATCCGATGAATACCCTTTAGGAGAAGCTGATGGAGCCTTAGATGCCTGAAGATATGTGCCCAGGTGTTGGGGTGGACAGGAAGCAACAGAGTTACCATAATTTTGTGACCTTGATGTTTTAAACTGGGAAGGACCAGCATGGAGTGAATCTAGCTTATGTGCCTGATGTGGTTTTGGAGTCCAGGCTGATTGATGCCGATCTGGTGAGTGGGATGGAACCCAAGCAGGTGACGCCTGCTGTGATATCAGTTGAGATGATAATGAGGGCCGGGCTTTTCCAGCAGGCTGTAGCTTTGGTGGGTTTTGTTGGGGTACTGCCTGTACCTGGGTGTGCCTCATAACTGGAACTGAGCTTGATGCTGCAAGGGGATTCCTAGAAATGGCACAGCCCTCTGCGGACCAGGGAGGGTGAGCTGGGTTGATAACAGGTTTGGGTAGGACAGGTGGAGGGTTTTTCTGCTTGATCTTTGGAGCTTGCATGAAATTGCATGCTTCAGCACCCAGACTGAGAAAGTCATCTTCTGGAACTGACTCTGTTAAGGACTTCTGATCTCCTTTCTTTTGAAGCAGGGTCATTTCTTTTAAGTCTGTCTTGCTTGCTCCTCTCCTTTTAGTTTCTGGTAGGATCCCTCTTTTAATTGCTGGTATAGCAATACGTTCATCACGTGAAGCAATGATGTCTGATGTGGGGGACCAAACTTGTGGGGTTGTGTTTACTGGAACATTAACTTTGAATATGTTTTCAAGTTTCTTAGGTGATGGGCTTGAGACACCTCTGACTGGTGAAAAAGTTTTTTGGCCTTGATTATGACCACCAAGGAAGGGCTTAGCAGTTCTGTTGGGAACAAGGGGTCTTGGAACAGCCAAACCTTGGTATGGATCCAGACCATTCATACCATTTGCTGATTGTGGCAACATCTGTTGCTGAATTGGCTGCTCTTGATACTGCTGTTGTTGTCTTTCATAGACATCTTGTGAGGCTTGTGTACTTTCTTCTTGTGGAGGACACTTTACAATTTCACCTACTGGTTCCACAATTGCATCCACTGGTATGCCTTTTCGTCTCATTTCCTCTTGTTCTGCAGAAAGATCATCCATTCTTTGACGCCTCTTGGCAAACATAAAGACTCCCTTGCCTTTTGTCTGTGGAAGATGCTCCATTGTTTCCAACTTATACTCTGCCTGTGCTTAAAAATTCTGATGTAGCTCAAAACAGTCCGTTGGTTCTGATCAGTCGTCTTCTCAGAATAAACTTTTGAAGAGCGTGGCAATCTGACGTCCTGATTTACTTTGTAGTGTACTATCTTATTCTTGTCCTGAAATCTGTCTTCTAGAAGATGTACCGTAACTAACAAGTGTGAACCTTCTGACCCTTTGTTAACACTTCTTGAACATCAACACACCCTTGTTTTGGCAGCAGTAAAAACCAAAGCGTTATGTTTACTTTTAGAGTTGGCTTTTTCAGCTGTCTCACTGACTGTAACTCACTCCGTCTTAGTCCTGTGAAAGAAAATTCAAGACAAATAAATATATTTTAAAAAATGGCATGAAAATGATGAAGAATGGAAATTCATAACACAATATAGGAATTATTTAGACATTCATACATTAATGCATTTGGGACAACATGATGCAGCATGGGCTCATAGGCCACATACACAGTGCAGGTAAATTCAGTGGTCAGTTCACCTTTCAGTACTTAATCCTGTTCTGTAAGCACACAGTTCAGCAATTTACGGGAGGGACAACCACATTCTTAACTCATGAAGCAAGAAGTTGTCAAGTAGTGACAACCACATTTACACACATTATATGCAGTGTGTACGGAACTGAAGTGAACAACTAATTGTTAATGATGTATTTAAACATGCATCAAAGTTGTGTCTCTCTTCTGTACATGCGGTGCAAGAAATCACAGGGAACAAGGTACGTCTTGACTCATTAGTGTTGCCAGATCTTGCTAGAAAGAAAAAAGCAAATAAGATCAAGCCCATAATAAACTTATTTCCAAATACCATAATAACACAACCTGCACTAAACTGGATCGCTATATGAGCCATGTCCAAACAACACGTCCAAAGATACTTAATAAACGTGGCTTATAATAAGTGGACATGGTAACACTTAAAGAGCATGCTTTTCACACATAAACAAAACAAGACTGCTCAGTCGACGGTAGTTTAGTGTTCATTGAACATAACGAGTCTTTGGTCGCTGTAATATTACTTTGGTAAAAAATAATATATCGGCTATCAAACGTGCAAGATGCCAGAACATTGCTATGGTTACCACAGTGTCAATCATCATAATTTCGAGAGTGAGTTCAGTTCTATACACACACAAAACAATAATTTTCATATTTTCAATAAATTAAAAAAATGAAAATTCTATCAGTAATTACTCACCCTCATGTTATTCCAAACCCGTTAGACATTCGTTCATCTTCGGAACACAATTAAGATATTTTTGATGAAATCTGAGAGCTGGCTCACTCCTTCCGTCTATGTAATTTCATTCTGCCGGCCAAGAAAAGTTAGTAAAAATATTGTTAAAATAGTCCAAGTGACTACAGTGGCTCAACCTAAAGTTTATCAAGCGACGAGAATACTTTTTGTGCGCAAAAAACAAACCAAAATAATGACTTTATTCAACTATTAATTTTCTCCTGTGTTGGCCTCTGACGTGAGTTCACGAGAACGCCGTGACACATGCGCGAGAACTGAGAAGATGACGCTCACGATCATTTGATGGGAAAGTGTGAAAGCTAAGCCATTCATTTTGCAGCATTGGTAAGGCACTTTTACATGTCCTCGTTGGTTTCTCACGGTTCGGACATCCAGGAAATGCACGCTTTAGAACCATTTTAAACACTAGATCGAGACCCATCTGCATCATCTTCGCAGTTCTCGCGCATGCGTCGTGGCGCTCTCGTGAACTCACGTCAGAGGCCAACACAGAAGAAAATGAATAGTTGAATAAAGTTGTAATTGTTTTAGCGGACAAAAAGTATTCTCGTCGCTTGATAAACTTAAGGTTGAACCATTGTAGTCACTTGGACTATTTTAACAATGTTTTTACTAACTTTTGTGGGCCGGCAGAATGAAATTACATATAAGCCTCTGAAGGAGTGAGCCAGCTCTCAGATTTCATCAAAAATATCTTACATTGTGTTCTGAAGATGAACGAAAGTCTTACAGGGTTGGATCACCATGAGGGTGAGTAATTACTGACAGAATTTTCATTTTTGGGTGAACTAACCCTTTAAATGCAGTTGTCACTCCTGAAATTTGTGTATGTGGCCATAGTGCACCTTGAAATTTGCATAAGTCATCTCATATGTAATTACCATATTGTGTTTAGACACAACTATTATTTCAAAGTATTGATAAGATAATGTATCATTACATTCCAATATTGTATCGTATTATTGAAGTGCAGTTTAGATAAGAACATTTCAATTAAGTGAGGTCTTTTATCGTCTTGGCTTACAATGATCAATTTCTCTGTTTAACTCAAATCCTTAAAAAACTTCATCACACAAGCCTCAGTAGAACATTGTTAGCTGGGTTAGTTGAAACTCATTAAAACTTTAGGTCTAACCATTTTTAATTCACTAATTTAAAATTAATTCCACCAATCTTGTCTCTATCAGACACATTTAAATCAAAACAATTCTGACTGCATTAATACAGCTTTAAATAAGAAAAATCCACGAGGCAATGCCTCAAGTTGTTCAGGAGAAAATGGAGAAAATCTATCTTCACAACTTTGTAAAAAAAAACACATGATTTTCTAATGCTGACATGTAGCTTTCTAACATTCAGTTTAGTCCAAAGCACCCTGACTTTCCGAAAGCTTTTTTAGGTAAACAAACATTGCAAGAGGTCATAAAACCCCGTAGCTATAAAGTGCTTCTGTGCAAACTGTGTCAGTGCTACTGCTAAAACTGTGGTGGGGTGGCAGGACTAAGGGAACAAGTGAGTAAAATTACAAGTAAAATTAAAGCTGCAAGCAGCATTTAGCGGTGTTCAAGCAGTTAAGGCCTTTAAGGCCGTTAAGCACAAAAGCATCAAAAGACATTAAGTTTTATGTAGCAAGCGTTTAACCATTGACATCATAGATGAAATAGACCATGTTTTAGCATGATTTACCATGATATACCAAATTTAGTGTGATTTTTCATGATCTACCATGTTCCAGTATGATTTACCATGAATCTAGCATGATTTACCACAGTTTACCAGGTTTTACCATGTTATAGGATGATTTACCGTGATATGCCACATTGTAGAATGATTTACCAGGATCGTAGCATGATTTACCATGATTCATCACATTGCTAGCATGATTTGCCATGATACACCATGTAATAGTATTTTTTACTATGATTTACCATGTTTCTATCGTGATTTACCATGATTGCCCACATTGCTGCATTGATGTGAAGTGCCAATAAAAATGAAGTGATAAACTCTGACAAAAAATGATTGTGTTATAATAGTTAACATGGAAAAACTGGTTTGCTTTAGTGCTTTGATTTACTGTTGAAAATCAAGTGTGTCAAAATGAGAGTGAGCCAATAAGTGGTCTTCTACTGCCCTCTGCTGGCCATTCTACTCATTAATAAAGTGTTTTCACAGGTGCTTTTGCACTCATATGTAGACATTTGCTCACACACACACACACACACACACAAAGTCATTATGAAAATATATTTTAATGGTCTATAAGCATTTCATGTCTTTGCAAGCTATTAATCAGATTATTCAGAATTTATTCAGAAACATGGGACTACACACACACACATTCTATTGTAGATTAAACTGTCTCATTCAGGGTTCACATTTGTCAATGTGACAATGAATTTTGACTAAATGTGATTGTAAATGTTAAAATAGTGATTATGTTAATTCTAAAAATGAATTATAGAACAATGATAGTCAGCATTATGACAAAATTACTATTTTAAACAGCAGGGGGCAGTAAAACACCACTTATTGGCTTAATATGCCACTATATTCATATAATTTTCACCTTTTTAACTGTTATAGAGGCAAATTTTGTCCGATCTGTCTAAAATTTGTCAAGCTTGTTTAGAGTGATATGTCCTGACCTTTTTTTAAGAAGATCTGAGCATTCATTGAAGAGATATAGGTTTTTGGGGACATTTGGTCAAGGCTACATATTGAAGTGACCCTATTATAGCCATCCAAATTAAGATGTTATACCTTTTCTGATCATTATTGATCTAGAGAGTCCCGAGAATTGTACTGCACTGGTTTTAAACATTATGATATGAAAAGTATACGATCATAGATGGAAAAGACCATTTACAGCCAATACAGGCAATTTACCATAGGAAATATATGGTTTTAAAGCTTTTTAACAGTTATAGCGCCACCTATGGTCCGATCTCCATGAAACTTTGCATGCTTCCTCACCATGGTATGACACATATTCTCATCAATTTTTGTCAAGTTCTGCGTTTTCATTTACGATTTATAGGCTTTTGAGTGTATTTTGACACGCCCCTCTTCTAAATGACCCTGTTACAGTGAACCAAAGGGCAAAGTTCAACTTTTTTTTGATAATTATTGATCTAGAGCGTCCAGAGAATTGTCCTAGACTGGTCTGGTTTTGATCGGGCGAAAAACCAGGGACTAGTTCGCAAAAGTAGGTTTTTAACATATTCGTGAATATTTAATGAACGATTTGATTGACAGCAATGGTTCTAGAGGCAAAGTTGTTCACCATGAGGAGATCTATCAAATGATATGCATTTTGGGGGGATGTGTGCAACACCACGTGATTACAGAGCCATAAAACTCGTTAGCGCCAACTAGTGGCCGATTTCTTTCAAAACTCTTACAGACCTCTCAGGCCATGAGTCGAACATGTCCATCGAGTTTCGTTCCGATTGGCCTCCGTTAACCTCGTCTCATAGGGGCTCAAACTTCATTGGTCGATGGCGGCCATGTTTTTTGAGATACGTCAATGTCCTCATAGATATACATGGGGCCTTGGACCAAGACACTGCATACCAATTTTCAAGTCAATCGGACTAACGGTCAGTCCTTTATATGTTTTTTTCATGTTATAGCGCCACCTAGTGTTCGATCATCGCGATTTTTTTACTGTGACCTCAGATTGAAGTCATGCACATGTGTACCAAGTTTGGTGAGCCTATCTAATTTACTTCTGGAGTTATAGCCATTTTAGAAAAATAGGCTCCTCCCACAACGTTCTTTTTGCGCCCCCTAGCGACCGGAAATCGAAATTTCAACTTTTTTTCGATTATAATTTATGTTCAGACTCCACAGAACATTTGTGCACTGGTTTGGTTCCGATCGGGCGAAAAATCAGGGACTAGTTTGCAAAAGTCGTTTTTTGACAAAATTCAAAATGGCGGAAAATCTATCATGACGCAAATGAAATCGGAGATATACGTTTTTTAAGTCAGGAGTCCAGCTTTCCAATGATATAAGACACTTGAGTCTACG